TATATTATGTTCTTTTTACAACGAAAAAAACTGAAAAAAAAAAGTATTTTGAAAACAGCGCAAGACAACAGGCAAGTAAGTTGTAGTGGAAATGCTAATCTAAAGTTCTATTTCCATAAATGGAGTTCATTCCATTAGCCTACACCTCAACTAAGCCTAGCTGTAATGGTCCTCCCAAATTCCACCACACTCTTAAAAGTCAAGAAAAGAGTCAGAGGGTAAGTGAAGGCTGATTAAGAGAAAAGCATGCATTCTCTTCAAAGCAGAGCCCCGTGGCTGGCATCCCCAAAACAAGCTTTGAATCAGTCAATTCCTCTTTCTCGATTGGGTAGCCAGTAATAGGTCACTCTAATCAACTCTTTATTCAACCTTCGTCTCTATTAGAAATCGCAACTCACCAAGCCCACCCAGCAAAGCTAACTCAATCACCCTCCCATTCCCCCACAGCACTGAGGCATGTTTACAATTGCAAATAAGAAGACAAGGTACAACAGACAGTGCAGAGCCTCTAAATATAACATCATAAAGGCTCAGGCAACGACTGAAATAGAAATACAATATTCTCAATGCTGATGGGCACTTCTTTACTTTCCATTTGTAGCACGAAAATTGACAATACCATTTAAATAAAATATGTGCTTGTGTTCAATTTTGCAAAAACTTCCACTGTTCACCTCCATCTTTGTAAACTTAGCAAGACTTCAATAGTTTCATTTAAGAATACCTTATGGTTGATAGGTTTTTTTAGTGCTTTAAGACTCTAATTATATTCCTTTCCTCAAATATCCCCTAAACTACACATAATACACATCTAATAACAGTGGAAATGTATTTATACTGATATTTTTGAATTTTCATATACAATTCTTTCATTTAGGCTACTATCCATACTATCATTATAAGAACGAGTCTGTAAAAATATGTTCCAACTAAAGCTTGGTGAACTTTGAATGCTAGATAAAAATCATTCTCTGAAGCTAATGAAGACAGAAACTCTGCCTGTAACAATATTAAGTTTGTTTTCCCTGGTGATTCAGAGAAGTGAGCAATCTGTCAGTAATACATTGAGTGAAATTACTTGTCTTGGAGGAATAACTGCTGACAGTCACTTTATCTCAGGGATGACCCAAACAACTTCCTGCTGACAAACAAATTACTATGTCTAACTTTGAAAAGGTAACTAGCTTGTTTTAATTTTGATTGGTCTTTCGGAATCCCTTACATATATATTCAGCCCCAACCTTCATTGTATTTAAAAAAAAAAGGCAACAAAAGTGTTTTGGGGGGATAGGTTTGAACTTAATAAGTAAGAGAAAATAGTAAGAAAAGAATAACTCTATTATTTGATGCTAAGAAAAAGAGCTGATATGCTTCTTTCCAAGACTGTTATGTGGATGTAACTGGTAAGCGTGTCTACCCAACATTAAGACTGGCAGTGCCGCCAGTGACTGACTGGGTGAGTGAACACATTACTGAGACAGTATTGTAGGAATTAATTTTCTTCAATAAAGTGATTTTTAAGGCTCATATATTTCACAATCTAAACATATGTCACTGTTTCATAAACAAAATAAATGGATTAAAATAATACATTACCAATATGCTGACACATGGAGATATTTTAATTAGAAATTCTTAAGCTGTGTGATATTTAACTGCTGTATTTGCTAAAGAGAAGCATGCATCATTTAATAAGAAGGCATGAGACAGGTGTATCACTTTGCATATGGTACCAGATTTTGTTTAATATAAGCTACAACTATGAGGCAACACTACTCCCCATTAAAAACAAAACAAAACAATATTAAGGATCTGTCATATTGAAAGTAACCATATAAAATTAATAAATACACTGAAGCCCCTTTTTCATTAAAAAAAAGTCATCCAGAGCTTAGTTCCTGAGACAATATTTCTTCAGAAACAATCTAACATCATCGCTATTTAAAGGCTAAATTTACATGAATACCTCATTATACTGGTTCCCTTTCCTTAACATTCTTTTTGACTTACTTAAGGACCAATGTTAACATAGCTGAAGAAAGCAAATGGCAACTGGTCCTGAAATTTATAAGGGTGAGAGAATTGAAATAAGCAGCAATATAATATATTGTTTACTGTAGCAAATGCCCTCTGTTCTCTAAAGGTCAAAAGCATTGTAACCTTAGAGTTACAGTCTCTGATTGTTCCCAGGGTTAAATACATTATCAAAATTAATGGTTCAAACCCCTCAACCTTCAGATATATGAGTATTCATGCCTGCATCTGCTAAACTGTTCAACTAAAAATAGCACTCTTTGGCCTTCTTTCTCCTAATATTGTGCCCCTGAGGCAGAGAAAACCAATCCTTAGATCACCACAGTAGTATTTTAAAAAATGGTCTTTATGGAATTTTCCTTATTTTTAAGAAAGAAAGTAATAGCATATGCTAATATAAGGGGAGTCTTTCCATTTTAAATAGTTTTTCTCTACCTGATAACAAAATTTCAGAGCATAATTAATATATACCAAATGTTGTTAATATTTACTCAGGCTCATTAATTTTAGAAATGACAACCTTTGAAGGACAAATTAACTGTAACATGAGGTAGAGGACCAGTTCTGAGTAATGCATGGGGTGAGGTGGGGTGGGGAAGTATATGTGCTATAAACTTTTCCTCCTAAGAATCTCTGTTTAGAAATAAAAACAGTTAATATAATTGTAATGCTTTCTTAGTAGCAATAGTTTATCAGGATCATGTTTGTTGACAGAACTGTGACATTTTAGCTTGTCAAAGGAGGGGAGAAAACCCTAGCTAGAAAAGAAAGCAGATTCTAATAGCAATAAAGCAAGATATTATTAAAATTTCCCTCTACACTTGCTCAAGATTTAAAATGTTACTATCTAGCAGCTTAGACATGGTGTCTACTATACTATTCATTGATGTCCCAATAAACATGCTACTCTCATACCAGGAAAGTTTGGGGAACCCACCTTTCAAACAAGGTCAGTCTTTTCTACCCAGTGTCCACATGAGCAAACAGATCAAAGGTTTCCTGAGATGCAGGAAAAAGGTGCAAAAACAGGAGGCAATGGAACAGAGCAAGAATAAGCAAAAACTGAGGATACAAAACCAGCCAAGCTTAAAATACAAAGCTGTGAAGGCTCTTGCATTATTGGTTTCCCCGTTTAGCCTATTTGAAATGACAGACATGTGACATATGCTATGCTTCTAGATCAGCATCGCTATGGCACTACACAGCTCTGACACTCCCATGTATGACATCACGGTTTCCAAAACCCCCACAGAAGCCAGATTTGACACATCAGGGATCCGTGATGGTGTGGGACTAGGGATTGCGAGGTGGGAGAGAAGCCAACCTAAGTGAAAAATTAGGCAAAAGAAGAGACTGAGTAGAAACCTGGCTAAGGGAAGATTGATGGGATAGAACATAACACCTCAACAGAAAATAGAAGTCCAACAGGAGAAGATGTTCTTGAGTTTGAGTCAAGGCTACCTGATTTCACATTCTTCCAGGCATTTAAAAGCTTCTCAAGCTGACTGTCTTGAGTGGATAAGCTTGCTAATTGTCATCACACATAAAAACTTGTTCCTAATGTCCAGTCATCTCTTTTCAGCTCTCCTGGGCATAGTAGGTTTTCAGAACGTCCAGAAATGTGGTACTCTCTCTACAGCCAAAAGAAGGGCTTAGAAAAGAAATTTCTTCTGTCTGTATAGAAGACAGGAGATGCTCTTACAATATGTATCTAATCATATCTGAGTGGAAACCCCCTGTCTACCTCTTATGTCAAAGCAAAAGGAAAGAAGGAGGCAGTTAACAAGCTCTGGAACTTTACCTTAGGCTACTTCGAAGGGGGTCTTTGGTCTTGTCTCTTCCTTCTTCTTAGGAGTGATCATTTCCTATTATTTTCCAAAAAGGTAGATTCACAAGCAGCAGAAAAGGTAATGTAAAAGGGACCTTTTATTGACTACATAGTGTTTGAGCTATACAGACCAGCATAGCCAACAGAAGCTGAATGTTCATCTTCATCTTACTAGATGCAATTATTTTCATTTTTGGGTTGAGTTTTCCATCCTAGGTTACAATATAAAATTTGGCATTATATCTAACCCCCCAAATTAAAGTGTGTTTCAGTCTGAGGTAACCTGTATCCACTTTTTAAAAATTCAACAGATAGCTGGAAATTCTCCCATATGATAGTTCCAGTGAGGGACCCCAATGATGCAGAAAAGGAATCAAGCATGAAATTGGAGAGAGGAGGACTTGGTTTTTATAGAAGAAAAGGTCTTGGTTTTCATAAGCCATCTTCTCTCTAGTGTTAAGAATATCCCAAAAACACAACAAAGGACTCTACTAGAAGGCGAAATATGAAAAGAATACTACAGAAGTTTATCTGGGAAAAAGCAACCATCCAGGCCCAGGCACCCATCCCTATTTCATTCTGAGAAAACTGGGTAGGTAGAATTAGAAATCCTGGGCAATAACCTTGATTCGACCAACATTTCATATCCTTGGCTAAATAACTTAATCTCTCTGAACCTCAGCTGCTTTATCTATAAAAGCAGAATTACATTTGATTAAATTTACAGGGTTATTCTATGGTCAAATAATTTTTTTAATTTTTAAGTTTTTTAAAAAAATACCATATGACAGTTTACACGAGAAAACGTAAAAGAGTGAGGGAAGAAAGGTGGTTTTGAAGACACTTATAATGTAAAGCTTTTGCCTGAATATATATGGCAAAGAATAACCTTAATTCAGGGACATTGCTTTGGGATTTGCTTTTTTCTCTGAAAGAAAAGGAGCAAAACAAGAGCCTCCTTAAGAATGAGAATGAGGAAAAGATTAGGTTTAGTGTTTAGGCTAAGTGCCACTTTTAAAAAAAAACCTAGAGTATGACTGAACAATGCAGTCCCCCACCCAATGAAGCACCAATGGAAGCATTCATACCTCAATCTGTTTGTGGTTGTAAGAGTGGCCACCACCATGTTCAAAGGTATCCAAATTCCTGCCAAAACGGTCACTTAGGCCCTTTAGCCTTGGATTAATTTGTGGGTGAGAGACATGACCCTTCTGTTTAGTAGCATATTCAGAAAAAAAAAAAAGACAAAACATACTGTCAGAACTCATGAAACAGAATCATATTTCTAAATCCAGGGTACTGAGCACATCAAAAAATAGAAAGTAGAAAGTTTAAGACTCAGTTTCTTTCTTTTACAGAAACTTGGTTATAGTATCAAACAGTGACACTGATTTCTTGTTTCTGCCTCTGACTCAAGAAGATACTCAATAGCATAGCTATAGGAAAAGGAGAAATATATTAGGTTTATAATAGTGAGGGTTCTTTTTAGACTTGCACCAACTACAGAGGTTTCAGAGTTAGTGGTGTGGAAGGTGAAAGTTTGCAAGAGAGGTGAGGTTGCTGCTTCTCTTAGGCAAAATTTCTGGCTCTGCTAGGCAACCTATAATGGGTTACATCTTTATGGATTCCTGGATCATGACTCGACAAAATTTCTCAAGTGCAAAAATTCTTTATTTGAAGATCCAATTGGAAACATTCAAAATGATGTTTTTTCATGATACAATAGCTGTACACTTTTTATGTTCAAGTCACATATAGAATAGCAACACAGAAATAAAAATACTTCACCAGATGCTATTTTGTAGATTATTTAAGAAAACTCAAAAATAGCTACAGTATATATTAAGAATAAAAACTACATTTAATAAAACTTTCTACTATATTTAATTCAAGTTGTTGATTATCATATATTCTCTAAATATTCAAATACTGAATGTTTGACTTATTTTAATGATCTCATCTTTTTGTTTTTTTAATACAAATATACATTCATAATCAAAGTCAACCTCCCTTTCAAATGGTAGTAGTAGAAGTGTATAATAACCACCTATTTCTATTCCAAACTTATTTTACTGTGAAGAAGATAAGGTGTAAATGATTTTTCAATCAGTTTCCAAAACACTTTCTCCCCAAGTTTAGCTTTATAAATATGAAACACCAATGCAAAATTAATCAGACACCATGCCCTGACTTTTGATCCTAGAAAGGATGAGGATACACATATTAAGGAGCAATGAATTTATACTTTACCCAATAATTATTATGTAATTTGAGAATAACAACCCTTTATTCTATGAGCTACAAGAAGGAAAAATATCCAACATCATTTTTTGTTTCAATATTTACATGTAAAAGCTAATCTGGACATAGATGGAGACACAGATGAAAAACTGACAAGGAAAAAGCTAACATATATGCAGTAACAACTAGCCACTGACATTGTAAAACTATTAACTCATCTGATAGAGAATACATAGTATTAAGTCATAATGTGATTTTTTGTCCTTTAAAAATATTGAAACTGGCAGTTTTCTCTTTTATTTGCATTATGGTAAGCACATAAGGTGTTAATCCTTCTGGGCTATGCTTAAAAAATTATTTAACATTCAGGCCATTATTTAGCATACAGCTGGTTAGCAGTTTTCTACTAAAGTACTGGCTCATATCCCACATTTTTTTTCTTCTGGCACTTACCTGGAGCTGTAAAGGGCTGAGTCCAGAAGCAGCAGCAGCTGCCATTGTTGATGGAATGAACTGTACAGGGTAGTTATCACCTGTCGGAAAGAACAATGCATACAGGTTTAGACAATGCACAGGGAATTGCAGCAGACAAGTACAAACATGGTCCTTGGATTGCCTAAGCTTTACAACATTGCTCTAAGCCCAAACATCTGCAGAAACAAAAGGCTGAGTTGGGCACAGACTTGCAGTGCTGCCTTGGAACTTTTTGTTAACAGATAGCTGGTAGGCAAACTGGCAAAACATGAATATGATGTTAAAAAAATTAAATGTGCAATTCAAGCATGTTCACTCCATTACAAATCTTGTAATACATCATTTTTAAGAGTAAAAAAAATATCTTAAAGCTAGGCTGACACTCAGTATACTGGGAAAGCACTGAGGCTTTTATATTAGAACAACAAAAAGTTTTGGCTTGGTAGGCAAGGCAGACTATTAGAGTCCAAAAAGGGTTCTGAGCTATTGACCGTAATTCTACACTTTATTTTATTGGACAAATTTAAAAATAAAAAAATACAACCTCTTCAATATGATAGGGCCGAGAGGATAGCTAATCTTATCTTCCAGCATTCTGTGAAACATCTGGTATCCCCATAAGTGTAGAAACCATGTTTTTCTGAATTAACCTCTGGTACTGAACTGGTGGATCTCAGTACAGAATGATGCATACTAAGTACTTATGAAACATGTTTCAATGATGCTTTGATTAAATAACCACACATTTTACATGTAATATCTGTACTAATTCCTGGTAAAGATTGAATGTGGTTCAGCAGAGATGAATGCTACATCTTAGCGTGTTACTAACTTCGGATTACTCCTAAAAAGGGAGACAGAAGTATCTTCTGTGACCTAAGAACACAGGCTGTGTGCAGCAACCTGAAGAACCAAAAGAAGGTAAGGAGGAATATATCATGACAGTGATAACTAAAATAAAAATTAGTACATGTGGATACATTACACAATATCAGTGATTTAATGGAGTATCACTTTGGCTTCAGCTACTTATTTAAAGTCAGTGTTATGTACTATCTCTAGGCTATATTTTAATAGGCTGTTCCTCCACACATTTTTGACATTTATAAAAATCATGCTGTTTTGCATGAACTTTTCCATATGAAAGCTGAATGTAATAATGAATATACAGCTAGAAAGAATCTCAGTAATAAAGGGAGTCAACTGGAAAGCAAACTTTTTTTTTTTTTCAGTATGGACACTAATACCTGAAGCCTTGTTGGTGCCTCTGGTTCTTGGGAACTCATCGTGCTTGCCACATGAAGTGCTACTCAGCTGGTCCAATGTAAATGTTAAGTTGCTTTCACTTTTAACAAATTGTTAGCTTCTAATCTACACAGTCTCTTTGCATCATATCCATAATACCTCATCAGACCATTGAGCACAGTGTGTGCTTGTACACAGTCCAGTAACAATTGGCTTCTGATTGCATATGAAGTGCTGCTACAATGCATTCACTAACATTATATTGTGTAGGTCTCCTATGGAGTAATGTTCAAAATATCTGATCTTGTTTTTCTCCTTCCATGAGGTTGATTTTGGTTTGCAGTACTACATGAGCCTTTTAAAAAACATAACTAGGCCAAATTATTTTTTATAGTAAATGACTGTCACTTTATGCTTAAATAATTCTACTGATCTTCTTGATATTTAAACTAAATTATCTAAAGAAAGAATATCCTAATCTAAGTCAAATAGTATTTCTTTGGTAGATATAAACTTTTTTAAAAAATCACAAAATGATGCTGAATTAATGATGCTTCAAAAATAGGGGAAAAAATCACCATTCTAACTGGACTGCCTCCTGGAACATTTTAGAGCTGTTCTTTCTTTAAATATCATGCATTATTCATACTAACTCTAAACCACAACCCCCCTCCCTGTAAGTTTAATACCAGTTGCTTTATTTATACTAAAATATTTTTCATGTCAAACATATTTAAAAAAATCAAACTCTAAAAGAATTCCCTGGGGCACTCCTTTTTAAATAGCTGTCATGTTTCTATGCTATGAAATAGCTTTTTTTTTTTTCTACAGTTTTTGGCTTGCCAGTTAATTTATTACTATCTCTACCACACCCTATAGTACTTTCCAGCTCACCTGCTGGCTACAAACAGCTTTCTTTCCACTGCTGACAAGCATATTTTAAAAACATTTTTAACTTTTATCTTGCGTTGAATTTGTATATCTGAATATAATCTTTAGAAAGCTATTTCTCCATAACATATCATTGTTTCAACATTAACAGTAAAAATGAACACATTAGAGCAACAGAGTATATATCAGGGAATGATTAGAAGAAAGAGAACATGGAAAAGACAGGAGGGGTAGAAGATGAGGGAGAAGAAGAGAGGGATTACAAGTAGAAAAGAAAATTTTAAGAGAGAGAGGGATTTAAAGGTATTGTGAAGTTTCCTTTTTTAATAACAAAGTCACATGTTTCCCCTATGCCACTGTAATTTGCTGTGTAAGTCAATCAACAAAAAGTTCTCAGTGCCTGACTTGGCAAGGAATCAGTCAACATGTTGTAGCAATTTTTTTCAAATTTGTCTCTGGATCTGAAATGCTTTCATGAGGAACCATTCTTTTAAAATTTGTACATGGAAGGTGAAGCTTGTTGAAACAGGTTGGCTTCATGCACTACTGTAATTTGGCCCTTGCTACCTCTAGTGTAAGAAGACAGACTTCAAAAACCAATTTGAGAAATAATGTTCATTCTGTTAATCCATTTTTCCAGCTTTCTAAATATTGCAACTGCTGTTTTTGTCTTAAGAGTACAGAACAAATACAAAGTAGGATTTAAAACTTATGGAAAATTTGCTCGACATTAGTTTCACTAGCCAGAATAGGCAGCGTTCCTTGGGAATCAAAGCATCAAGAGTCCCTAAATGAGAGAAAATAAATTCTTAAATTTTCATAGAAACTGACACAAAGCAGAAACTTAGCAAAACTTAATGGCAGGAGAAGGGGAGCTTGTCCTAACAACTTATGACCCACTAGATTCATAGATTCAGGCTACCTTCTGCAAGAATACTTTTAATTTGAATAATTCAGATATGAAGTCTACCTTTTTTTAAAAAAAGAAAGCCAAAAATCCCTTGGGTAAAAGTCTGTCAATTTATTTTCATTCTTCAGAAAGACAAGTAACTGGGATAGCTGCAGTATCCCGAGATAGTAACTTCAGATATTAACACATTGAAGAAATAATTTAGAAAGTTTGGAAGAAGGAGGAGGAGGACGAGGAGGGAGGGAGGGAGAGAGAGAGAGGGAGAGAGAAACAGAGCTAGAAGACAGGACTCAAAAGATTCTTCAGTAACTACTCCAAAGTAGGAATTCAGTCTCATTTCCCAGCCTCCAAAACTGAAGAAAAACGTGTTACACATCCCCAACTAACTAAAAAATGATTGTGTGCTAGAATCATTAAATAAGTTGCCAAACAACCGTAGAGCCCACCTTTATGAGCTACAGCCATTCTTGTTCCAATATGAACATATTTGAATTGCAACCACTGATACAAACTTGAACACACCACTTAGCACAGGTCTTGCCTGGATACATGTATTTGGTATAGCAAAATATCACAACTACTCTATAAGGAATGTCATACACTACAGTAAATGTTAGCAGGTAATAGGCGACACATTTAGACCTCTAAAAATAAAACAAAAGCTTCAATTTGTTCTGAGAACAAATGAAAAATAAAATTAGCAAGGATTATAATATGTATTGCTGAGATCACTATGTTATTTCTCCTGCTAAATTTCTCCCCTATTCATCAAAGAATAGAACCATAATGAAGAGCCTTGATCTCAGAATTTCTTTTAAGATCATCTGCAGTGTTTTGTCTACCTTTAAGAAAGCTAAGAATCAAGGCTTAATCTTACTTTCTTCACTTATTTCACAGCTGCATCCAAACCATTGACCAATCAATCATCTGAAAATCTGTGGAATTTGTCACAATAGCAATTAAATAAGTGAGTGTGAATGAACTCCCATAAATTCATCCCCACTACATAAAATCATTTTTAAAATCCTCAGTTTCATACCAGGGATGCAAGGATGGTTTAACATAAGTAAATTAATAAATGTGATATACCACATACACAGAATTAAAAACGAAACTCACATGATCATTGCAATAGATGCAGAAAAAGCATTTAACAAAATACAGCATCACTTTATGATAAAACCTTCAGCAAAATTAGCATAGAAGGGACATAGCTTAAAGTAATAAAATCCATCTACAACAAACCCACTGCCAAAATTATACTGAATAAGGAAGAGTTGAAAGCATTCTCCCTAAGAACTGGAACAAGATAAGGATGTCTACTTTTACCACTTCTATTCAAGATAGTACTGGAAGTCCTAGCAAGAACAATCAGACAACAGAAAGGAAGAAAGGGCATCCAAATCAGTAAAGAGGAAGTCAAAGTGTCACTGTTTGCTGATGATATGATTATATACCTAGAAACCCCCTAAAGACTCCTAGAACTGGTAAATGAATTCGGCAAAGTTTCAGGACACAAAATTAATGTACATAACTCAGTAGCTCTGCTATACACCAACAGTGACCAAGATGAGAATAAAATCAAGAACTCAACCCCTTTCACAATAGCTGCAAAAACAAAATAAATAAAATAAAATAAAATAAAATAAAATAAAATAATAAAATACTTAGGAATATACCTAACCATGGATGTGAAAGACCTCTACAAGGAAAACTACAAAACACTGCTGAAAGAAATCATAGATTACATAAAAAAATGGAAACACATCCCATGCTCATGGATGGTTAGAATCAATATTGTAAAAATAACTATACTGCCAAAAGCAATCTACAAATTCAATGTGATTCCCCTAAAAATGCTACCATCATTCTTCAAAGAACTAGTAAAAAGAATCTTAAGATGTATATTAAACCAAAATGAGCCTGCATAGCCAAAGACAGACTAAGCAAAAAGAACAAATCCGGAGGCATCACATTACCCGACTGCAAACTATACTAGAAGGCTATAGTCAT